CCTTAGCACAAGGCGGAAGCCCCGGAGTGCTTGATGGCTTTGAGAAGAAGAGATTTTCGGCTCGGGAACGTTGCTCCAAGCAAAGCCTGGTTTTCTATAAAACCCGCTGTAAGTGAGCTACGCATACGCTATTTTTAATATAGCTTTTATTTAATTATAGTAATGTTATTAGGACTTATAACAAGTACTTGGGCTATTATTATGGGTTATATAAGTATTATTTAACGCTTATATAATAGTAATAATAGCTAGAATATTAATTAGTCTCGGATAATAATATACTAAACTCTAGTGGTAATAATACTAGGTTTCGTCAAAGAAAATTATTTTAAAGTAAACGAACCACTGTCCGAGTACCGAGTTACCACCTTATCAAGTGAGTGCATAGGTACTTTCAGCTGACACATAAATATGAAGTATTTTATATAAATAACGTGTTGTGTGTGCATATTATCTGTATACTTGTTATTTATGTTGGATGAACAATTTTATACATGTTTTAAATGATTTAAATTCCATATGTATTTTATATCTACAAAATGTGTTGGGTAAAAGATGGGTAGATGTAATAGTTTCCGTGTGACAAAATAAAATAATGAGAGGCCTCGTTATAGATGTTATTGATGATCCAGTCATCTAGTGGAGTATAGATGACGACCACGGACTATTCTAGACAATCCAGTGGAACGCTAGCAGGCTCGCAACCTGTAGGTGTTTATTTGAACTGCATGTTTATTTGAACTGTTTGCTCACCAACAGTACTCCATCCCCCACATGGTTTCCTTATTTGACATGAATTGCTGAGGAACCCCCGAAGCATGTGTTGTCACACCGATGAAAGTCCCTTAGACTAGGTCCCTTGTGTTAGATGTTTTAAGGACATAAAGTGAGGATAATGGGAACGGGTAATCGGGTTTGTTTGGTTTGATAAAGTTAATAAACTTATTTATTGTGGGATGAAAAACCTATATACTCACCAGGTTTCCCAACCTGACCCACTCAGTTTATTTATATCACAGGTGTTGATACGAAGTTACATTACACTGAGTGATTAAGGAGATATAAATCACTAGTGATAATGAATGTAAGTTCTATTTATGCTTATGTTTATGTATTGACGATGACATCCCAAATGTTTTAAAATGAATAAAAATACTTTTCTTCGGAAATGCTTTGATAACATATTTATTATGTTTTACTAGGAACAAATTACGCAACATTTTTATTAAAAGAGGTACTCTGATTTTTATAAAGCATAAACAAAATCGGTCTTTTCTGGCCATGAAAATGGGGATGTCACACCAGCCTCCATTGTTCCTCCCAACCCAGAGAAAGACTTAACTCGAAACCTGAGCCTCTTTTAAGTGTTCTTGAGCTTTTTGGTGACTTTTTGTGCATTTGAATTTGGAAGAGAATGAAGCTTGGGTGTTCAAGTGGAAGCTAGTAGATCCAGAGGTTTTGTTTCATTCTGAGTTCATTCATGATAAAAAGCTTGAACCTTGACCGTCTATCTCTTAGATCTTGTTTTGGGGATATTTTCTATCGTTTTCATGAGTTGGTGAAATATAATCGAATTTTGTGAGTGTGTTTGGAGCTACACCTCAGATCTGGAACCATTGAGGGTTCCCATGGCATAGAGATGCCAATTTTATGGCCATGGGAGACCCATGCTTCTTATATACCTCTTTTTATGGCTCTTTGAGCCAAAAACCCCATGCATGGATGTCAAGATTGGAACTTTACGTATAAAATGGACCTTAGGAGGTAAGATCTATGGTTTTAATACATTAAGACCCATTATAATCGACTGTTTAGTTTAGGACAAAGTGGGACTCGGCGAGTCGGGATGTATTTTCCATCAAATCCTTCTATTGATGCACCAAATGCTCAAACTGAAGGGACAAGATGAACTCGACGAGTTCAGGGGGGAACTCGACGAGTCAAAGACTGAACTCATCCATGTGGATGAAGATGAACTCGACGAGTTCAAGGATGAACTCAGCGAGTCGGTTGAAGAAGGTCTAATGTGTTGTTGAAGGCGAACTCGTCGAGATCTTGCTAGGCTTAACGAGTAGGGATGGGGTTGTAGCTTTGTGGACACGGGGAATCAGCAAGTTGATAAACCAACTCGGTGAGTCGAGTCAACCAGATGTTGACTTTGACCAAAATTGACTTTGACCAGGGTTTTGTCCTTAAGTTTGACTTGGACATGGACTTGAGTGACCCTTGTAAGGGTTATGAGTATGAAATACTAATGTAGAGAGAATGTTGTGTAGGGATTGAGGATTCGAGAAGAGTTGATTTCCATACCGACGACAGTGCAGACACAACACGGCATCAATGTGAGTCACCTACTAGTAGAAATGGGTCTAATGCACCAAAGCCGACCCATTAGCAGTGATACATAGTAAAGATAATTGTATTTGTGATAATCTTTTGGCATGTTGAGTCTGTTATTATGTGCTAGGATGCTATGATATATGTGTAGTATTGATATGGGAGGGATAGCTCCCGGTTACCGGTTGAAAGATACCGAAGGGGTGGATACTACGCATGCATGCCTATCCGTATTATCATGTTACATTACTATGTGGTAGAGGTAGGGTGAAATAGTCCCCGGTTACTGGTTGAAATATATCGAGGGGGAGGTTTGAAGAAACAACGAATCGAGTATGAAATGAATCAGAGTTTAATGATCAAAGTAAGATTGCGACATTTGAACACAGATGTAATTATGATCTTGTTTCATCTCTATTACGCTCTCAAGTTTTACAGAGTACAAATGACAATGCTGTAAAGACTCGTCTTCATGACTCTAGTAAACACTCCTATTTATTGGAGAGGAAAGCATACAAAAAATATACTAAGGACTAAGTGTTAAGCTTTGAATACAATGCCCTATTAAAATAAATTACATAAGATACAAAGACTCAGTACATTCGAAGACATGCAACCCTTCGACAAATTACAACTCTATTTACCCTTACAATCTCCCCCTTTGTAATCAAAGTCGAAGTCTTCAATTTGTAAGTAGTTGAATTGAGTACATCATCACTCTTCGTATCTCCGTGTACCTTGCAATGAACTTCTTAATCTCCTTCTTGTTTCGTTCATTATTCTTCCTACATTGGTTCATACGAACAATTAAGTTGGTATACTGAGAAGTTGCATATCACTCCACTTCGTATGTTTGGAACAAGAACCGCTTTGCTCTACTAGCTTTGTCTTTTCCTGCGTAGACAATCCCCAATGGCTTTAAGCAGATTTCACCATCTTCATATTTCTTCAGATCTACTTGTTTCTTCGTAGGAGCCATTGGTGCAGTAATTTCAATACCCTTCGCAGTAGCCAATTCCACATCAGTTTGAGCAAGACACTCAAAATAATTTTCAATAAAGATCTTGATGTGTTTGACTCCAAGTTGGAAAACATCCGATTCTATTTCTTGTAGAAAAGAGAATGACTTGTCTTTCAGGATTAATGCAACTTATATAAGATCATACAAGTTCATTACTGGAAAATCAGCAATGGTAAACTCATAAAATTTTCCATTTGATCTGATCACTGTGTATTTGTGATTCTGAATAACTTTTTTTGAAGATCACGTCTCTTTTGATGCTTATAACTTTCTTGATTTTCAGCAGTGACCAGACATCTTCAGGAGCTTTCACCAACACTGAATGAAAACGAATCTTCATCTTCTTCCCTTCTTCTTTGTCTTTACACATAATTTCTGCTTTAAACTAAGGCATTATGAACATCATTTCATTTATAGGAAAGTCAAGCTGACTTGCATCAGTGTTTGAAACTCCATAACTCTGTTTTGGCACCTTTTCGAATGAATACATGTGATCAAACATGACTTTTGCCTCAATTGTTTCATAGTTGTATTGCTTCAAATGATCTCCTTTTTCCAAATCCACAGGGTCTTGTGCACGAAGAGTCATAATAATTTGCATAAACCTCTTCCTTTCCAACTCCGCATCCACTTCAACCTTCTTTTCTTGCTTAGTCTTTTCTATGATCGTGGCTTTACCTTTATCTTTAGACTTAGACTCTCCCACCACAATCTTTGGTTTCAAAGCACTTTCAATATCTTCTCCAATCATAACACCTTCCATAACTGGTCTGGTCATCGGAACCATTGTGACCACAGTTGAAGTAACTGAACCAGCTGATACAATAACAGGCTTTGTAGTTGGGATCTTTGAAGGAAACACTTTTACCACCACCTTTGAATATTCTTTACTTGCCTTTACTTCTTCACTGGTCTTCTTAGATTCATCTATCTTTTCCCCCCCTTAGACCCCTGTGAAAGCAGGTGGGGCATCTTATACTGTTGGAAGAAGACTTGAAATGAGAGTAAGAGGAGATAATTATTTATGAAGAATAGCTTCGAAGTGGATGAATTTTTGGGATAAAAATTATGGAGTGATAAACAAAGGGGACACTGGTTTCACAGACAACTCCATTAACTCTTTTAACAAAATTCCCAACTCACCAAAATTCTTGTTCTCCAATTCAGAAAGATGAGTAAGTTGAGGACTCATGCTTTCTTATAATTTGACAAATTTGGTGACAGCTTCAGAAATAATGCCAAACTTCTGATTGATTGAAGCATACTCTTGTTGAAAACTTTGAACTTCTCTCTGCATGTCTTCATGAAGTTCATGAATTTGCATGTTGACATCTTCTCATACCTTCTTTACTTCTTGAACAAAAAGAACATGCCATTCTTTTGTTATGATTTTCAGGTCCTTGACCTCACCCATAAAATCAGATCGTAGAGATTTAACACGTAGTTCATGATTCTGATCAGTGTAGTCAACCTTCTCCAAAATAACGGACTCGAAATCGTTCACCATTTCGGAGACTTTGCTGATAATCCATGATTCCATCATCTTTAACATAGTATCAACTTCTAGACTTGATACTGATGAACCTTCTTCAAAATCAACTTGAGATTGAATGATAGCATTCAACTTCGTATTGAAATTTTTTTACTGCGTCATGGTCATCAACATATGATCTGGAAAATTTTCTTCTTCTTCATCAAACTTTAGATCTTCAAAGGTTCCTCCAAAACCTTCGTTATCAGTTTCATTCTCCAGCATCATTGTATCATCGACAGGTGAAGTAGGTTTAGGTGGATCAGTAGATTGTGAAGAAAATATGGAAGTGAAAGGGGTATTGATTATGTTGTGGAATGTGGGTAAATCAGTTGTAGAGGTTACTGGAGGTAAAGATACGATAATATTAGAAGTGACATTAGGATTACCTTGAGCATCAGTCTCCGCACCTTCTTTACCCATGTTAACATTTGTATCCATATGAGATACGTCTAGACTGACGTCAGACGTTCGTGTCTCCTCAATAGATGACTTGACATGCAAAACTTCGGGTGGAATAACACTTATGTCTTCAGGAATCGAACTTTCTTTGAGAAGATCAACTTCTGGAGTTTCTGGATGTAACACCGTAAATTTCAAGATAAAATTTTCATTTAAAATAATCATTTTACTCTTAGAAACACTTGTTTAAAATCTTATTCATAGTCGATTTACAAAACATAACTCCATTTTTACTTGCATAGAAAACCAGGATCCTCCAAAATATGACTCTTTCTCTGGTGTGTACAATCAAGCCGGTGCCGTCCTGTGATACTGAAAGAAACCTGAAAAACATCAAACAAAACACTGTAAGCACGAAGCTTAGTGAGTTCCCCAAAATACCACACATAACACATATTAGCCACTCGAGGCTATAACTCTGTGGGTCCGTGCACCCAAACTCTGTGAACCCTCAGGTTCTAACTCTGGGAACCTTCCGGTTCCAACTCTATAAAGATGCACAGCATAAATCACATAGAAATAATGCAATACAACACATCACGTACATATAGCATACAAATACTCTAATCACATAACTCTGGTAAAGTATAGTGAGAAGACTCACCTGGCAAGCAGGAAGCAGAGTCACCCCGAGACTCGCCGAGTCCAACAACTCTGAGTCCACTTGCACTCGACTCACCGAGTCATCCCTCGACTCACCGATTCTCGGCTCAACCAGAGAATATTTGGGACTCTTCGACAAGACTCGTCGAGTCCAAGGCTATCTTCAACCTACTCGCCGAGTTGTTCTTCCAACTCGTCGAGTTCCAGGCCATCTTCAAGCAACTCGTCGAGTCGACCCATGTGACTCGCCGAGTACCACCGTTCTGAATCCATTCAGAAGCACTCCAGGCCATGCAATTGATCCAAAACATAGATCTAGCCTCCTACAACCCATCCATCACGTAAAGTGGCAAACTTTACGTGAATCCAAAGAGATCTAAGCCGTTTTCACATTGGGGCTAGGGTTTGGGACATGTAAGCTTCACTAAACACTCCAACACAGGGACTTTCATGCTCTCTGATTCTTCTCCCTTCCAGATCTGAGGTAGCAACCTCAGATCTAACCTCTAGACTTCCCATTTCATCCATAGACAATTTCTCACAAACCCCAAAATGAAGAAACAACATAACAACAGGTCAATAACGAGATATTACCTCTAAGTGATGCCCCAACTGCAATGAAATTCGAATCCAAGCAAATCCTCTTGCTCCAAGCCTTCAATCTTCCCAAAATTCCTTCAACCATTACTTCTCCAAGCTCCAATCCACTCAAAATGGTGCTTCTCCGTGATTTAGGGTTTTCTGGGGCTCAAGGGGTGATAAAGAGGCTGGGAGGAAAACATAGTGATCTTTATATAAGGCTCAACCCCGAGAATTAGGGTTTTCTCCACTCAGCGCCTACTCGCCGAGTCCATTACACTGACTCGCCGAGTCGGCCACTTAACACGCGACCAGGTCGCGACTCTACTCGCCGAGTCCGCACATGGACTCGCCGAGTCACTCTTTCCCAATTTACTCTTTTAGCCCTTCAACTCTACTCTTGATATTTCGGGATGTTACAATTCTCCCCCACTTAAATTAGGCTTCGCCCTCGAAGCCTACAACAACTCAACTCCAGAAATACTCCCACAACGTGCCACCTGGCCTTAATCGGACCCGCTCTTACACGGTATACCCATCGAAACTCGAACACACTTTCCCTTTCCTTACGGTGTCCTGACCACTGTCTCGAACCGGGCACCGGATGTACCCTCAGATAACCACACTCAACGATCCGAGAATTACCCATGAAGCATCACTGATCCAAATCTCAACAATCACTTGACCCATAAGGGTTAGAAGCCATGAACCATCGATCCCCGATCCAAATCCCATCCTATCCAATCCGTGACGACAGAAAGGCCCACTCTTCAATCCCAGAGCAAATCTCATGAGTCCTCTTCTTGCACTCAAGCACCCAAGCCGCACCAACCTTCGCACTCTCGGGTTAGGAGAACCCGTCGCACTGATGACATCTCTAACGTCCCCAGGAGACACCACCACTACGCACACGACCCTTGATCAGAATCAAGCTGGGAGTCCCAGACTCCATCCCTACATCCATCCTGAGACTCTTGGCTCTACACCCGTGGAATCCCTTCCGCATCCTCAGCAGACATCCCATCATGATGTCATTCCATACCACTGTCACAGACACAATGTTCGACCATCAGACTCCAATCATCCATTCTCACTACAACTTCCACTTCCGCGAATCGACACTTTCCTCAGCAAATGAGGGTTCGACACTTCCTCCCATACAACAGCACAAAGGGTGGCATACCAATGCACTAATGATGGCTGTTGAAATAGGATAACTCAACCAAGGATAAATACGTGCCGCAACACCCTCCGAAATCTAATACACATGCCCGAAGCATGTCTTTGAGCGTCTGAATCGTTCACTCCCTCTGAGGTGTCCTCCGACATCATCAGGATAAGCTCTAGCTCATCACATATCCCTCTTCGAGAATGGGCACCAGGTCAGCTTTTGACTCCACAGTTGAGCCTCCAAAGGTCACCCAAATCATGATCCAAATATCCCACTAACTTCCTCCCCGTGACCACTATCCCGGCCCCGTGACACGCAAGTCACGAAATTCTCTTTTCCTTATGCAAGAAAGTACAATCCAACCGAGGATCGTCTCCACTCTGATCTCTAGTTTCTGCTGCGCATATCCCTTGCCATCTCACCACATTCCCCGACAGAGACGGGGACCCCAGTCTCGCCCCCGGTCCAACATCCAGGCTCCAAAAACTCAATACTAGGGCTACTCAAGCCCAAAACTCTTCCACATCATACACTGATCGGAGAACATTCGGTCATCACACTCTCTTGCCATCTAGTGAGCACTACGGCTCCCCGCGGTATCACAACACCCTCTGACTAGTGAGTACTAGGGCTCCCCGCAGTATCACAACACCCTCTGACTAGTGAGTACTACGGCTCTCCGCAGTATCACAACACCCTCTGACTAGTGAGTACTACGGCTCTCCGCAGTATCACAACACCCTCTGACTAGTGAGTACTACGGCTCCCCATAGTATCACAACACCCTCTGACTCTACTAGCTCGTGCTCCACAGACTATCATAGGCGGCTATCCATACTCGTCTCGAATATTCATCACAGACTCTGGAGGCAATCGTCATAACAGATGCCCACCCTTGCGAAGATCCACTCTCCCAAGTAATCTCCCTGGATGCCGATACTCGAAGGGCTATCACTAGTTCCATAGATACCTGATATACCACAAGTCGTCTCAACTCAAGATTCACGAATAACTTCGAAATAAAGATATCAATACCCGGATACCTCGGAACACCCCCACCGAACATCACAAGATCCTGCCACAACCACAGATCTCCTGCCCCAAGCACCATATAGATGCAATAATATATTCCCTCTGAACCCCATAACTAGATCTTCATTTTTCCCAAGTTGCAACTTCGGTGTATTCAATTTCTCAATTGCAATACGAAGAAACGCTAACGCTACGAAATACGTTGATAATTCTCCGAAACCCTTTTTCCCGCCGCTCAAAATCCAAACAAGGATACGCATACCGACCCGGGAGTTGGCTGCCCAATCATTCTTTATCTACTTGCCCCAACACCGACCAATACCAGATTCCTAACTAATAAACACCTGTCGTGGAGACATTCATCCTTTTCAAACAAGTACTTCCCGCATTAACTCACTCTGACCCCTTTCCTCGATCACCGACATCTCTGGTCTCATGATTTCTTACCGCATATCTATATACTCCACTTATACCTGCTCTTGACAAATCTCTGCTTTCTTACATACGGCACCCGGTTCTCCCCCACTTAGGGTTCGAACCATCACCAAATAGCACGCAACTAACCCATAACTATATTCTCCAGCAAAATCGCACCTGCCCCCGGAAAGTGCTACACAACGCCCGATAATCCCCCCTTAAGGAAATGAATCGACCTCATATACTCTGAACCTCTGGTGAACTCCTCAAGAACTTCTCGTCACGTCTGCCTCTAGCCGTTCCAAATCTCGTACCAATTTAGTACCAAACAACTCAACTACTCGATAACATCCCTGGCTCATAGACTGAACCATAAAACCATCATACCCCTCACCTCAACTCATTAACCAACGCTCCAACACCGGGATCATCCCAAGAACAGGAACCCACTCCCAAATTCAACACCCCATGGATAGAAAACTCTCGGCACCGCTGAACTCGACTGAACTCCCTGCTGATACCACTACCGTACACCCGACTAAACTCAATTAGGTATAGCGTGGCCCTCGACTATCTTAGTCCCAACTGACTATCTGCTCATGATAGATCACTGCCTCGCGGCACACATGCTACCTGATACTCTGGTGGGAAATCATCGTCAATGACGACCTGCAGGGTTTACCCCTAAACCCAAAACTAAAACATCATGCTCCTCATTTTTTTTTCACACGTACATAATCAGTACCTCCCCGATCATAGGAGGTGACATCTCCTTTATCGACTGATTGCCCAAATCAGATCAAAATTCTCCCTTCTCACTGACTCCTTACTAAAATACTCTGAGGGGCTCTCGATCTCCCTCTCAAGGGACGCCTCATTGAACTTACTCATAACCGAATAACCAGAGAACCACAAACATCCTTCACTACGACCCATGGTACTCATTCCATGACATCTCTTCTCAATATGCCCCAGTGTATGGTACCCTAACCATAACATCATTCCCCAATCCGCTCCGATGTATGGTACCCGGACCATAACATCACTCCTCAATCCGCTCCGATGTATGGTACTCGAACCATAACATCACTTCCTAAATATGCTCTGATGTATGGTACCCGAACCATAACATCACTCCTCAATCCGCTCCTTAGAACCTTCAGAATACTCCCTGTATCAAGTATGGGTCCTCTGCTTTCAGTAGTACGGGCCCATACTACCTGCCACATCTACCCATACTTTCCACACGGACCATCCCAGAGCTTCTAAGTAGCTGCTCGACCTGCCCTTTCACTAATCCCATCGCGCGTGCTCGCTCCCCAGCGAAATTCTCTACTCTGCAAGCGCACTCATCTGGCTAGGG